TTGTAAGCGATGCACGATCGAACTACGCTGTTCAAAAAATTTTAATTATTTCCCTAATCTGTAATACCCTCGTAGAGCTTACTTCTCTGGACACGAATTCGTAATCGAAATCGTTCTCTCACTCGCAGTTTCCAAAATATACGAGTTTCTTTTAAAATACTTCATTTTGGCCAAAAATCGGGCGTTTGTAGGAAAATTCGTAATTTTGGGATTTCGATAGATCAATTTCGATTGCGGGTTCATTCCCAGGAAAGTAAACTCCAGGGTACTCACTCAATGGATACTACAGATTAAAGTTTGCGTTGAGAACGGTGTTATCATTCGTCGATGAAGCAACGACGGAAAGGAAGGAAACGAGAGATAAGAGCAAGGGAAAAAAGGGACACCAGCGTGAAAGTGGAGGATATTCGGAAATTCTGAGTCGCGGAAATTGCGACGTTAGCATATGCCAGCTCGGTAATTCAGCCGTTTAAGCCCGTCCATTGGAAAGCTCTCTCTTTTCGAGTCCAACTAATTACCGAGTTTGTAATTAATGCGTGCTATCACGGCAGAATCTCGAGGGTTCGTTTCGTGCAATTTGCCAGAGCGACAAGAAGCCAGCTGGTACTAACTGCCGGTCACGTGCTCGCGGCACGTAGTTCCGACGATTTTTCCCCGTGTCACATTTTTATCGTCATCCGACACCGTGTCCTTTATCCGCGACTGCGGCGCGGCGCCGAGAGGTCGGTGCCATGATCTTCGACAACCGATAGCGTCCCCTGATCCACTCCGTTTCCACCGAAACCACTCGTATTCGCTTATGGACACGAAAATCCACTGTCGCGCATCGAGTAACTACGCGCGCCAATTTCCATGGAAATATAATACATCGAAAATTGGTAGAACGGAAAGAATCGATATCCGTTCCGGTGGCTATCGGCGGGAGTAATTTGTGCAGGGTAATCGATACAGCGCGCGCAGCTTTTCAATTTATCGAAAATCCTACGTGAAAAATCGTACGTGAAAAATCGTACGTGAAAAATCGTACGTGGAAAATCGTACGTGGAAAATCGTACGGCGACCTAGGGGGGAGAGGGACGCGCGTGGCGAAGAAATACGAAGAGCGGACGCGGTGCAATCGATGCGCGTGCATTTAAACTTGACACTCGCGAGCGAGTACATCATTCGCGAGTGAAACCGGTCCGAGCTCGCCGGCCACGTAACCGATTACGTTAATTCGACCGATTTCGAGGAAAATCGCTCGCCTGGTAATTAGCCGGATTAAAATTCGTGGAAACCGCCGGGTGGAGAAATTTCTTTACCTCGATCCTGCTATCTCGATAGAAAGCGACGCGAGTTTAGAGTACTCGATGCAGAAACTCGGTGCAATATCGGAATAACGCGCGGCTGTCTCGAAATTCGGGCATGTCCGCGTTAAAAGGGCGATCGTGTATTAATAAAAAATTTCATACGGGAGGACTGAAATTGAAAAACGCGACGATGGACAGGGAAAAATGACCTATTGCTCCACTGTCGTCGATACGGTTAATTACGTTATCGATTGGAGCAAGAGTTTGTCAAATGTATAGCTCACTCCTGTGTCCAATCGGAATTCATAGGCTTCGTAGGTTTCTATGAATTTCCGATAGGTCTGAGAATCAAATGGCCACCTGTCGCGTAAATTCCGATCCTTTGAAGATTAATGTCATTTGCATCGGCACAGCTGTCGCAACGTCACGTGTCGAATCTAAAGTCGCACTTACCGATAGTTAGACGCCTCGAGTAACCGCGATTTCCCACGGACCATCGATACCCCGAGCGAACGAGACTACGTTCGTACACGCGTGTGGACGTAAAACGGGAAGGAGAAAAATCGCGATATCGTTTGCTCGTAAATTACCGACAGCGAGAATAGGGAAATCTACGCGAGTAGCGTGAATTTTCGAGAAAAACGCGCAAAGGGTAAACTGCGGGGGAAGAATGTGATTTTACGAGACATCGTTAAACGATATCCCGCATTAAACGCGAGGTCGAATGACTTCATTAAATTATTGCCCGAAAGAATCGCTGCTATAAAAACAGGCATTCTTTATAATGCCATGGCTGGAAAGAATTTAGCAACGAACTTCAAAGAAATATTTGCCACGAATGAAAAGAACGGGTTAGATTTTCTACCGTGGAGAACATTAATATCCGCGTACTCGTTGGAAAGCGGCAAGTGCAACCGAGAGGAAGCTCGGAGTCGTCGGTTCTGGTATTTACGGAATGGCATTTCCGAAGATTAATATCGCGCACCTTTCATAGCCGTCGCGGATATATACGAAGTTCGAAATTAAACAACGCCAAATCAATCGATACGCGATTCATCTTTCGACACCGTCCAACGTGCCTGACGTTTCTCTTTTATCGCGCGTGCGATCCTTCTTTTTCCCCGCGCGAATTCGGGAAAGGAACGAATTCGAACGGGACTCGTTCGGCTGCGTTTCGAAAACGCGCGAATAATTCAACGAAGTGAAATTAACGGTAGATTCGCGAGTCGGTTGAAAATGCAGTCGCGAAAAGAACGTGGCAAACGAGCGAAACGAACGATCCGACAAAGTTATCGTTTCGCGGATTCGTGGAAACGCGAAAGACAAAGCGAGTAGCAACGCATACATAGGACGTATCGCGAAACTACGTTTGTCAGACTTTGTCCACGAGCACCCTTTAAATTCGCTGGATTCGAAACACGTACCGAGGCAAATCCCAACTTCGACCGACGTATCAAGATTTATGCATATTTTAAACAGCATCGATCTCGTAACGCGTCTACGTATATGGCTGACGGAATTACCCGCTCTCTTATTTTCCATAGCGCGGCTACCTTTTTCCAGAATACCGTGGCACCACCCTTTCCGCAACTTTCCCGGAGTATCTCTTTGCGACAGCCACCGCGAGATAGGGAATACGCGAGAGGGCGGATCGTTTCGGAAACTTGTACGACTTAAAAGAATATACAGAGAATACGAGAGCGTAGAAGGAAGGAAACTTGGCGGAAGCTTCCTCTCGTCGGATTAACTGTTTGGCCAGAGACTGCGAGGAAACTTGTCCCGTAATGTCCCATTTAAAATTCGGAAAACACGCGAACCGTGCACGAGAGCTCGCTGTTCGAAAATTCCCCACGACTACCGCGTTCCTCCGCGTTAGCCGACTGTACCCTGGCCAATTTCCGAATAAATTTTCCCGCCTATGCGTATCGAGTTGATCGAAAAATTTCCTCTCTCCTTTGTTTCGCTCGCTTTTCTTCCATTCCGCCGAACGATTTTTCCTCCCTAATTAATTTCGACACGCAAGCGCGCGTTCGACCATCCGGTGGATAAGCGATCGCGTTTCGAGAAAGCGCGCGGGTCAGGATTTTTCAACGTTTCATCGAGCATCGCTTTTTACGGCCAGCAGCCGATCTCGTTTCGTGCGAATTAGCAACCGCGTGTGTAAAGCGAATCGTTGTTTCGTCCCGCGGATTCCGGCCGCGTTCGGTATAAACTGGTCCCGCGTGATCCGCGCCATAATGTCCCTTTGTGCGTCGGTTCGGATGCACTCGCGGATTCTGCGTGGGCAACTCGCGTGGGCGACTTTACACGCGCTCGCGCAACCGGTTCGACGAACGTACGATTACGTCGCATTACACTTGGCGCGTTCGTACGGTCGTGGTCGTGGTCGTGATGGTCGTGATGGTGGTGGTGGTCGTCGGTCGAAGGCGTCTCCTCGAGCCCGGTGCCTTCTGTGCCATAAAGCGGCCGAGCATTTAGGCGAAAGCACGCGACAAATGTCACGCCTTTGTTGATCTATAAATCGCGGGAAAGATCGGTATACGAGCGTTCGAACGGTACTCGTGGCTGTTCGAAGGACGTTTTAGTGTCGCGTATTTTTTACGATGAATAGTCGCGCCATAAAGTCGGCGGCCATTTTTCATTTCGCCTAAAAGAGACGCGTACTCGCGGGGGATGGAAAAGTTACGGATTAATTTTATTGCGCTCGTAAATTACGAATGTAATTATGGAGCACGAATGCGACCTCGATCGCGATAAGTAATAACAGTGCACCGATATCGCGGTATCGTTGCTACATCGTGGATTACATCGACGCATCGACAACCACCGTCCCGTTACGTCGATATTCTAATATCGCTGCATCGGGGCGCAGCTATTCTTACGCGATTAAACGTTACGAGATTTCCATGGCCATTTTTAATTTCGCCCAAGGATACGTATTCTCGATAAACAAGGCAGTTCGTGGCTAATGGGGATATAACCGGAATTTCGATATTTACTTTTCATCCGGTTCCATAATGGATGCACCGGGTCCACCGATCGAATCGTTCATTTATCGCTCCTATCGCAAACGTGTTTAATCTGCTCCGATGGATCGACTAAAACTAAAATGGATCGGTGACATCGAGTAACGCAATTGGCAAACGCACCGGTGGATTTATCCGGAGGATGGAAGATCTATCAGGGAGGGTCGAAGCGACCGCTGCAAGTGACGCGTATGCAATTGCGCCATTAGTAAGTTTAGGCCACGATCTACGGACCATCACTTGCAGAGAGGCGACTGATATAACAGGGAGCGAAGTAATTGAACTTGCAGAAAATTGGATCGCGCTAACGCCCGGACAAGTTACGGCAAACGTATTACGCATGACGAAAGTCGAGGACGATACGTATAGTTTTATACAGTTTTCGACAAAGAAATCTCGTTGCCCGAATCTTGTTTCGCCACGCAATCGCCGCGTGGATATTTCATCGATCGGCCAGCGAAACGATAGCGTTTATAGGAAACGAGATTACGAGGCGAAGCGAAATCGTTTTTAAAACTCTTACACGATCGCCGCGAAACACGCGTAATGCGACATCGGATTGGATTTAAGCGGAAGCCAATGGAAGGGGTAGCGAAACTTTTAGACGTCCGATAAATCCGGTATCCTCGTCGCATCGAGGGAATCTCGCGTTTAATCGTATGTGAAACATCATCGAAAAACTTACCCGTCGATATTATGCGTCAGGAAGGACTTTGGCAAGGACAGAGATCGCTGGTGAGGATCCAACGACGCATCCCCTGGCAGGGCATCTTCCCCTCTGGTCGGTGCGCTTCCAGGCCTGGAGAGCATTCCGTCTTTCGGCGGTTCCATCAACGTTTTCAGCGAACCGATCACGGCGTCCTCCATCGGAGTAGACGCGCCCGAGCTTTTCGCGTTCCTCGGGCTTTTCGTCACCGTTCGATCGGACGTGGTCACCCAGATATCGCTGCTGGACGACGACGACGTAGTCGACGAGGAGGCAACTTGACCACTCGGTGACCTGTTCGCGATACTCTTCGCCTGAACCGGCGACACTTTTCTATCCTTATTTTCACAACCTTCGAAACTACCGGTAAACTCCGGCTTCTGATAGTAACGATGATATTCTCTCCTTTCTACGCCCGAACCGTTCCCGTTCGATCCTTCCAGAGGCGACCATCGATTCGACTGCTTCAACACGCTCTTTGGCTGTCTTTCCTGATATTTAGGCGCGTTGTTATTGCTCTGATCGCGGCTGGCGGCCCGATTTTTCCGCGAACTTTCGCGTTCACGGAACTCTCGATCGTCCATTCGCTCTAACGACGCCGGAGATGAGCTGGCGCTTCCTCTGCTCGCGTGGCTACCCGTGTCCGTGGGGAGCCTCTGATGAGCCGGATAGCTCTGGGATATCTTCATGAATACTGGAGCTTGGTTGGGAGAGTACAAAGTATCTCTCTGCGAGCAATGCGGCCAGAAGTCGCAGGTACTACTGTTGCAGCGTAGCTTTGTGTCAGGACTGATACAAAAGTCGTTCGAAGTGGAAGGATTCGCGTTCGGGGTCGTTGCCCCTCTTTGAAGCGTCTTTGGCCGCCTGGATTGTTGCTGCTGCTGTTGTTGCTGCTGCTGCTGTTGCGACTGTTGCTGCTGCTGCTGCTGTTGTTGATGCTGCTGCTGTTGTTGATGTTGCTGCTGTTGCTGGGATTGTTGTTGCGTCGACGAGTTGGTCGATTTGGAAGATTGTTGTTGTTTGGACGAGATAAAGTAAACGTCGTAGGTGTTGGGATTGTTCCTTTGTCTTTGATCCTGGCTGTCCTCGCGGCGCTCGAAGCGGCAGGAGAGAAGGCTCCTGGCCACGGCACGATTCCTTGTACCGTAAAGGAACTCGGTTACTGCCTCGGTTTCACGGAGAAGCTCCTCGTTTAACGCGTTCTCGGTCGACTGCGCTTTTCCTAGGAAACATGCATAAATGGTATACTACAGTGATAAACGAGCAACGTAAAAGGATAGAAAGAAGACTTAAGCGTTAGAAATCGCTCCGATATCGGAGCAGAGACAACGTAGTCGGTATTCGTAGAATCTCGGAACAACGAAAAATTAGGATACTGTCATTACTCGAGAGAGACTCGCGGGAAGAAACTAGCGTTAATAACAAACGAATATGCGTACTGTTTTGAAGAGCGTGACGTTTCCTCTCGTTCCCTCGATCGCTGGAGATTTTCACGACGAGTCTATGGGGCTCGTTAGATTCCCTGGAGTGTTCTCTGCTCGGTGCCGCGGTGCTAGGAGACCTCTTCTCTGGTAATTGAAGGCTCCTGGATCTTCTTACCCGCGACTGATGGGAATCCGGGGACGCTTGCGTCGTCCTGGCGCTCTGGTGCTGTCTAGAGGCATTGCTACGTCTGAAAGGATTGGGCGTCGGAGATCTGCCTTGTCTATCCGCGCTGCTCGACGACGAGGAAGAGGAGGAAGGCGAATTGAACGATAACTTGCCGGATTCCGAGGATCCGGGCGATCTTCTTAATCCCTGTTGACTTCTGTGATGACGTCTGTTTGGCGAAATCCTTTCTCCATTAGCGCGTATAGACTCCGTGGATGAATTCAGGGCTATTATAGAGGAAGAAACGAGGCTCAGATTCAAGGAGGAGCTAGGATTGTCGTCCTCGTCGTCGCCGTCGTCGTAGCCCTCCACCGACGAATCCGTGTTTTCCGCTAATCTAGGCATTGCCACTCTCGTGACGCAGCTGTCCAAACTTCTGAAACCTACCGACGAGGAGGACGAGCTAGACGATTCTAGATAACGTTGGACGAACTGCGATCTCCTCGTGGAAGATTGATCTTCCAGTGATTTCGCTTGAGCCATCCGATACTGCTGCTGCTGCTGCTGCTGCTGCTGCTGCTGTTGCTGTTGCTGCTGCTGCTGCTGTTGTTGACTACTGCTATTCTGCCTCCGAGGTCTGGACGGCGTGCTCGACGATTTCCGGGAAGAAGGTGGCAAGGAACTCCAATTCACTTGATGCGGAGGCGACGGTGGAGGACTGATGATGTCACTGTCTACTATAGCGTTGGATCTCGGTAGGAACGGCGGCTTCCCATAGTTGTTACGCCCGGAAGAGTGTTTCGAGGACGTCTTTTTGCCGACCACGTCCTGGAAGGCCGGTGGAGGTGAGATTATCGGCGTGATCGACGGCGGGGAATAAGATTCCGGGATACTGTGAGGGGACGTGCAAGTGCTGCTTGCCACTGATTCGAAATCTTGTCCGTGGAGAGCCAGATAGTCCGGTCTCTGACTGTCCAATCGTAGAAACTCTTCTGGACATTTCCCTGGTTCGCTGTTGCAATGGTAGTCGGCCAATTTTACCATGGCTCGTCGCGGTAACGGCAGGGTACCCGTGGTTGCCGTTACCAAGCTACTCTCATAGTTTATCCGCCGATTCTCGTCCAGAGACCTTTGTTGCACCTGAACCCAACCCGATCGACCCAAATAGACACCGTCCACCTCTCTGTCGCACCATCGGACCGGTGACAATTCCCTGCTGCAATCTCCGCTGATGAAAAGTTCGCCGGAGGTGCCGCTGTTACCCGACAGGAACGAATTCGAGGATTCTCGACGACGAGAACTCGTCACCTGTCCGTAAATTCATCGATAGAAATTGCTCTTCGTGGCGCGTCGATAGCGTTTAAACACGGTTAACGAGCTCTACCGAATTTCCAGCTCCTTTCTCGTCCGCTTCAAAGACTCTGCCGTTCTAACCATTAAACCATGATTATTCGACTCGAAGTTCACGATCGCTCGAAACGATCGTGCAACTAGCGTATTTCTAGAATCAACCGTAACAAGAAGAAGAAGAAGATCGCGAGTGTTTGGCGGGCAGAATTTCGAAGCTTTCGAATTGGCGAGTTCGTGATACCGTATCGAGCTACGCATTAGATTTCAAAGAGATATGGTAAAAAGAAAGGAATTTTTCCCGCGCGTTCTACTTGCCTGTCCGTGGCTATCCTGTCGATGCTGTTTCAAGCTGGAAGTCGAGGACGCCGATGCCGCGGTGTCGTGGCGCTTCAAAGACGGTATCGAAGTGCCACGCGTATACGAGCCTCGGGTATTTCCGCTCGATTTTCCTTTGCCGCCAGTTTGACTTTTATTGCTACCGACGCTATACGAGGAACCTTGAGAGCCAACTTCCCAAGGATCCGACGTGCCGCGTAAATGCAGGATCGACACGTTTTGACCTCTGTAAACAAATGAAACGGAAAGGATTAAATCGAATGCGTGACCTCGAGTAATCGCGCGATTATCGCCGCGTCTGCTTCGATCGCGCAGAGGGTTGGTATTCCACGAGCGGAAAATCCGCGCGAAACGTCCGACACGCGAGATACGTTTATCCCGGCGAATATTCCCGGTTTCGCTCTCGAGGAAACTATCCTTACGGATAAACGCGAATATAATACGTACGCGTGTATATATTTAAAGTTCGTATCGGCGGAACTCGATTCGAGGAGGTTGTTGCACCCCGTTGCAACCCGGCCGCGCTGCTTTTCCTCCCTTCCTCGAGTCGAGGACAATCTCCTCGTATAAATATTCATCGGGACTACGCGGCCAGCGATATAGATATCGCGAGATATAGAAGAGGAGAAGGAGGAGGAGGAGGAGGAGGAGGAGGAGCAAATAAAGATGTCACGAGGGGAAAGAACGAAAGGAAACGAGGGCGTTGCATCCATCTTGCTTCGAAATGTCTACAGAGACGAGACTCTTGCCTACTCCCGCCGATAGAGAAAGCACGGGTGCACGATACCGTCGCGGAATGTATATGGCAAAAGCTGGTAACGTACAAGTCGCGGTAAAACGGATTCGTCGACGTTTCGTCGTTTCCACGAAAATAAACCAGTCGCGTTTCACGAGACACGGAAACGCTTCCAGTTTAACCGTGATTAAACGTACAAGGGGGTTCCATTTCGGTTTCTTCGCGTCTCGCGTGTCACAGCTAGCGCGATAGCGGCGAAGCGACGATAAAACCTGATTAGCGAATAAAAATATGAGAACGCGCGGGGGAAGGGGTGGAAACGTTTGGTCGATGGTAAAAATAAACGATCCGGGAACTTTTTAATACCATTACCGCTGTGGCGACGATATGCACGCGGTCCGGTCGAAATAGGGTAATGGAAATTCGCATTGCAACTAGATTAACAAGAATACTTTCGCGCATACGAGAAGTATCGACTCGACGGTGGAACAATGTTTCGGTGTAACGCGAACAGCCGCGTCGGTGCGGAACGTTTTAAACGTTTCGTAAAACGAGTGGACAGAATTTAAATTCGCGGACGAGTTTCGTGCGTGCAAGTATGTAGGTCGTGGAACAAAATTTTCGAAATGAAATCCGTTATCTCCGGCCGGCAAATGAATTTCACGATGTCACAGCGACAACGGACCAGGCACTTGGGTAATTCGCAAATGTTCCTACCGTTTATCATTAATGGCTCTCGGTAAATGCAGTCAGCTGCACAGGGGGGAAAGACGACAAGAATAATCTTCCGCTTGTAACGATTCGTGAAAAGAAGGAGCAGCAAGGGAAATGAAATCGTTGGCAAGCTTCGAATCGCGAACTCGAGCGGTTAAAGCGCTAGAATAAATGACATTCTAATCTACCAAACGACTCGATTCATTTTCCGATTCGACGTCGCGAAATTGCCCGCGATAGGAATTTATCCGCGCGAAATTACGACTGGGATTATCTCGTTTTTGTTTCGATACCGATCCCAGATAAGCAATCGATCCATCCTTTAGATAAATTTCGAATTATAACTTAGACGCGATCGGTATCGCTTGTTTCGCGTCCGACGTTTACACGCGCCAAACCATTCCGCTCGCTTTGACGGCTGTTCTCCTATTCGCAGCCAGACACAGACGGACACGTGTCCCCGGATGTCACCGGGTCTAAATACGACGTTATTCCTGGCCGATTTTATCGGAGAATACGGATATAAGTGTCCTGGACTAATTATATTTACCTTTTACCCGACATCGCCTGTGAGGTCTTCGTTTGCCTTTCGCACTCGGATTGGGATCACTGTTCGCGGGTTAAATCGGGATATCGACTATCGAGGCCCGGTACCTTCGATTATTACGATCTTTCGTCACGGATCGAGCCGATGGAACTTTCACGCGTTTCGCCCATCGATCTAACATCGCCGTATCGGTAGCGAAATTCGCGTCGATGATTTCGACGGGTCGTAAAAGAAAGCGACACCTTACGCGAGAAAACTTAACGGAACAGCCGCGCGATTCGAGAGAAATCGACCGGTTTACTTTTCCGCGATCTCGTTAGAGTACCCCGTAAAAATGATCCGGGACAACTAATTAACCGTATAGGGGTTCGGGTAGGAGGTCTAGAAACGATCCGGCTCCCTCCGACGGTCACCCGTTGAATTTTGCATTCCCGTGTGTAAACAAGTCGAGCTCCGCGGGGAAGCTCCGGGGACAGAGCCGAGCGGTATAGGAAGCGGCCGCGTCGTTTCATTGAGCTTCATGAAACTTACATCGCGCGTAACCAGCGAGTCGAAGAACTAGAAAAAGTAAACAGCGCGGAGGACAGAGAGATAACGAGAGAGAGAGAGAGAGAGAGAGAGAGAGAGAGATAGAGATAGAGAGGGATCAGAGACGTAAACTGCAGGCCAAGATCGAATTAATTTTCTTTTTACCGGATCGACGCATGGACGATGCGCGTAGGCCCGGTATCTATTAATCGACCGGTCACAAACCGACTCTTCTTACGACATCGATCGTCCCCCGAAACGAATATCGTTCGTTACCCACCGTAATTATACCGTCTCTCCGTTGCCACTATTCGTCTAGTCGGACGTGTCCTTTTTTGGCCCGGCCGCGCCACACCGACGAATAAAGCGCCCGACGAACGGGACAATGAACTCGCTGGCCCACGTAAAAAATTAATACGTCCCGTGTCGCGTGGCTCATCCGGTGACCCCGCGGCTCACCGTCGGCTACGGTATTCCTCGGTTTCGCGAAACAGCGAGGAATCTCGCGAGGTCATTCGCGTTCTTCGGATATGCCGCCGCTGTACTCGAGAGACGTGGGCGGGATATATTAACTTTTAGACCAGTCCGTTAGCTTCAATTCCTCCGTCTCGCTCGAATAGGCGAGCCTTCGCGACGCGATACAAGCGTTTCGATCGTAAACGAGAACGATTATCGAACACCCGTAACAAACACTGTTCCAAAAGAAACCAACCACGACCACGATGACGACGCACTGACGAAGAACGCGCGCACACACGGGTACACGCGTAACACCGACCGCGAAGCCGTATAGAGAGATACGCGGCGTTAAAAGTGCTCGCGCGAGATGCAAATCGCGAGTGAATAGCGACTCGTTAAAACCGAGTTACGCCTCTTCTTTCGCCCAGTTCGTCCTGTCGGAAAAAAAGAGGAGAGGCAGGAATAAATGGACGGGAACGCTGTTTCCGCGTGGAAGAAACGGAGAGAGGCGAGCGTGGAAAATGGAGAGAGGAACGAAACGAGAGAGGAGGAAAAGAAGAAAGAAGAAACACAGAGAGAACACACGCGTTACCTGTCGCCGCGGGAGCCAGTGGCCGTATTCGAGATGTCGGTGGAATCCGCGGCTGGACTGACTCTACGAGGTGGCAGGGCGGGAGCAGGGGCCTGACTCGAGGACGAGGTCGAAACGGGCCCTATGACGCCCACGTTGCCCCCACGTACCCCGTCCTCGGCCGAATGTTGCCTGGAGGATTGCGAGCTCTGCGACAGCCAACGACGCCCGGCGCTTCTCGTCACCACCGACGCTCCGCTCGACCCTGTTGCCTGATGGGACACCGTCCCTCCGCTGTCCAGCGACGTGCTCTGCGATCAGAAATTCAAATCAGCCAGGTTCGCTCGGTCCTCGTCGCGCTAGCGGCGAGGGTTAGGTGGGGGTTGCTTTCCACTTTGCCACCGCAGTGGAGTATCGCGAGAGATCCCGTTCTTACGGAGGTAATGCTCCGTAATCTCGGTGTACTTTTCGGACACTTTTCCCTCCGCTTTTGGCAAGAGGTCTCGAGTAACGCGAGGTTCGCGGAAGGCGAGAAAACTGATAATTCGAGGTGGAGGAAGAGCGACGAGGAGCAACGACGATCGAGATGCGTGGCACTCTCGGTAGGATTTTTTCGCCAAGTCGTTGAAAGACGATGGAGCGAGACAACCGTAAACGATGCTCCCCTAATGCGGCAACTTGGATGCGGTTAGAATAAATAGGAACGTATTCGACTTCTTTTCTTCGGCCTTTCAAATTATTCCTTCGACGGAGCGGCTAATCGATTCGGCATAGGCTGCTGCTCGCAGGTTTCTCGTCGGTCTCGTCTTTTCACCGTCTTCCCTCCATTTTTTTCGCTCCTTTTGTCCGTCTTCTTCGATGAACCGCGGGTTAGTATTCCCGATGCCGATAGAGAATTCGCGTTCTTCGACAGGGGAATTCGAGATTCGATGATCGGTTCGCGGAAATCGCCATAGAATTCCTTAAGATTCGTAGAATATCGAGAGGAGAGGGTTTATTGCCCATTTTTACCTCGGTTAATCGCATTCGTTGCCTCCCCCCGTCGCATTCTTCCGATTCTACCCACCGAACATGGCTCGCTCCGCGACTGCGGCCTTCTAACAGGAAGACCACTTATCCGGAACGATATTACCGCATAATCGCTTTCCTCTTACGTGTAATTAACCAACTCCGAACGAGGAGCTTTCTATGAACTTCGTAAATAAGGTTTATACCTTCGTCGCGATTCTTCGTCTAATAATTCCAGCCTTTTCATCCGCTTAAGCGCGATCAAAATTTAACCCGAGTTATTCCCCGCTATATACTCGCCTCTCAGCGGGAACGCTTTTTCCGTTTCGCCATTTCCTCGCACCTTTGAAAGCGAAAGCCTACCCTTCCGTTCCCGACAACGGATACCCGGCGCGGAATAAAGAAAGAGAGGTAAAGAGGGAGAAACAAATTGAAAAACCGTTTAAGAAGATTGGTCGCGAAACGAGATTCAGGCTTGGTTCGTCTTTATAACGACGGGAAGAAAAATCGCGAGCGTCTTTCGACGCGAACTGATACGTCGAAGCGAAAAATCAGACCTGTATTCGCGGAGATTGCATAAAAGTATGGTGGAAGTGGTCGCGACGAGCCCGTGTCGGCGTGGAGGCGCGTCGCAACGCGAGACGAACTAAACTCACGGCTTCGAGCAACACAGGCCGCCGCTGTTTCTACTTCCAAATACGGACGAGGTGCGAGAGACTGGCTACGCAACTCCTTCGATGAAAGTATTTTTATTTTCGTCGTGTGCTACGCCGAAGAAACCCGTCTTCGCTCGGCGATCCGTCGAGAATCGAGAGGAGCCGAGGCAGACCGGAGAAAGGAGAACTTATCGCTCCGGAGCGCCGTCGATCAGATTCTCGCCGATTAATCATGACCTGTACCTTCTCTCTCCTTTCCTCTCTCTCTCTTTCTTCGTCACTTGTCGCCACTGCACAAAATCGGCGCCTCTGATAAGAAAGACGAAGAAATCGAGGTCGCCGTAACGCGTTTTATCGCACGCGCGTCCCGCTTCTTTCGGCAACTCGGTTGTTTACCCAGCGTGGAAAAATCGAAATGACCACGCGTCTCGAACAGGATAGAAATCGAGCGGAGTATCTAGGTCGAGAGGATAATTCGACCGCTGTAAATCGAATTTATTTCCACGACGAAACTCTGTTCTCCTCCGGTGCCCCGAATCATCGCAGAATCGACGAGGAAAAACGACACGTACGATGGAAAGAAAATTACGGGACACTTACGTTCAAGTGATTCTTCCTGGACGTGACCGAAGAGTCCTGCGAGGAGCCCCTGGAGTAATGCCTGGAGAACACTTCCGCGAGCCTGGATCTGCCCGAGCTGGTGGCGTTCGACTTGGATTTGTTCGCCGGAGCATCGTCGCTGGTTTTCGCCAAATTCGGGTTGCTGCTCTTGCGCTCCGGAAAAACTAAATGCTCGATGTTTGGCGTGTATCCAGGATCGCTCCTCACGATATCCTGCAGGGTGACACGGCCTCCGCCGCTCGGTCCGCCATTGCTGTAACAGTGCGAAAAACCGTTTCCTTTTTCCGCCAATTCTCGCATCGCGATACGATCTCGCGTTCCCCTCGTCGTCGACGTCGTTTCTCGTTTTCGTTGTTTGCGAGGGAAAATCCTCCGAACTGGTTCCACCTCACGAGAGGATCGGCACCGCGGAATGTTAATATTTATCGAGGCTACGAGCTCACGGGTCCCTCCTCGAGGACTGTTCCCGTCTCGGGGGTGCGGAGATTTTTTTTCGCGTGAAAAGAATTTCGTCAAGGGACGCGGAGAGAGGGTGGGCAGAAACGTGAAAAAGCAGAAACAACGCGGCGGGAACAAAAGAGAGGGAGGAACAAAGAAGGGGCAGAAGGCGGATCAGTGAAATGCACGATGAATGCAATGTCGCAGCACGTCGACACGTGTAATGCCGGCTTAAAAGGGTTAATTATGCAAGCCCACTGAAAGCCACGGATAGTTTACTGTCTCCTGATATTTTCGTCCGAGATTTCCTCTTCTCCTCGTCATAATACGTCGAAAACGATTAAAAAGGAAGGGAGGAGGAACGGAGAGGGAGAGAGAAGGCAGGGTGGAAACGGTCGGCCGGTAATAAAAATGTCGACGGCAGACCAGGGCGAGATCTATCGTAGTCGAGGCTGTAACCAAGACGAATATATGAACGAGACGAGGAGAAATGTTCGATACATAGAAACGGTTTTTTCTCGAGGGCCGTTACCGTCGTAATTTCTACCCTCTTTCAGCGCTAGTTTCATACTCGGCTTTAAAAAATGTCGGAAAATGTCAAAGGCAAGAGGCGGTTCAACGGCGGGCAGTCGATTACGAAACAAACGTCACGCTTGTGTATCGCGTGTCGTATAAATTTTAAAAGCAAATTGCCCTATTATCTGCGATTAGTATCGGCTCGGCTTATTATCATAATTACGCGATTCAGCCTGCGGCTCCCGATTGAATATCAAAAATCGCTCTGCTCTTTGGCATTTACGCGGAATCGGACACGGAACGAACGTAACGATCCGATATCCTCTGCACGGGGATACGCGCCGTTGTAACGCGCGTTGTTATAATTACGGCACTTTTGTTGTCTGACCTGGGTCCGAAACCGTGCGACTGTCTCTGGCCTCGTCTTTTCCCGCTGCCACGGCCAGGCTTGATGTTTGTCACCTCTGCTAATTGCAGCAAGCGGTTGCGATGCTGCCGCAACAGCGGGTCCTCCCTGCGATTCATTTTAACCGGTGCAAGTGGAATCCTGTCGTTCCAGCATCCTGCAATCGAAATAAAGAAGCTCGTTGTAATATCGCTCTGGGAGAAAAACGCGATCGTTTCGCGCGATCGTCGCGACGATATATCGGCAACGCGGAAATTCGATGAAACGTCGGCTAAAGGGGACGCAAGGGGGAATTAAAAGGCTGAAACAACGCGTTAATCCGCTTTAACACCGACGAGAACCCGACAGAGGATAAATTCCGTTGCCAAATGTCTCCGATTCTGCCATTCTTCCGCAACACCGGGACACCGTCGTCCACGTCGATTTTACGTAACTCTCTTTTTCGCGATTTCACTGCCACGCGTCCATTTTTACCGGTTTAATTCCATCTTCCCGCAATTTTGTGCGAGTTAATTGGTTTCGAACGAGAAACCTGCCGCGGTTTTAATGCCGTTTCTCCCCACTCGGGAGTTAAGAACGCGACGACGAAGCTGTCGAAAATGGAGAAATTTCACGTGCGAAATTTAACGAACGTTTAAACGCGTTCGAGTGTTGCTTTTGGTTTCTCGCTTTACGATTTACCGGTTAACCGCGCCGTTATTCCAGATAACGAGGAAATATTGTTAATACCACCGAGGAAATTCGTACATCGCCGTTAGCGTAAAACGTGCTCGCATTGCATTTCCGGTAGGTACGATTTTCCCGATGTTCGCCGCTTATGGCGTTTAGTTTTTAGAGGCAGCACTAGATCGTAATTATCGGCCTGTGGATTCTCCTCTCGGGGCTCGTGTCGGATCAGGAAAAGAATTTACTACTGACACCGCGCCCGCCATGCTTTTATTCCTCTTTGAAGCGGGACTAGTGGAAAAAGTCTTGGCAAATAGGACCGAAAATGTGTTTTTTCCCTCTCTCTCTTTCTCTCGCTCTCTCTCTCTCTCTCTCTCACTCTGCTTCGCTGTTAAAAACTTGCGGCATTGTTTCAGCACTGTATCGCCTCTATAAGCGTTCCTTTTTGTCCTTTAGGTCGAAACGATTTTCCATCACGTACAGAGAGCTATGAATCTCCGCTTTTTTATTTCCATTACAAATCGTCCCTGAACATTCCATTCGATAAAACCATCGATCGGTTAATTAGTTTGTTGTTACGTGGCGTTAAATCGTATCGTCGATTGTTTCGAGCGGAGGTGCTTTGCGCGGAGCTTCCACGAAGTAACGCGAATGATTTTTATCAATGGTATTTAATTTATTCGAATGAAGGAAAAAGAAGAAAAATAAAAAAGAGAGAGCGCCGTATATTTCTTCCTCGTAATTTATGAATATTTGCGGTGCCCTTTTGCGTCGGTTGTTTGACGATAATGAACCTCGTTATAGCGTCGGATATCGGCGAAAGTTTCCCACGCCCGACCATATCGGCAGGATAGTTTGCTATGAAAATAACGAGTTAACGAAAACACGATATCAGCTCGAAGCCATTTTTTCGCGAAATTTCAATTGTCGGAAATTAACGCGAAACTGGCGGAATCGCAGGACGCCATGAAAGCAACGTTGCCCATTTATCGAGCTTCACGACCAAACTATACGTAAACTGCGTTATTTGCCTTCGATGTATCGCTATTAATTTATCGATCATTTTTTCCAAGACTCGCGAGTGCCAACGCAAACGTTCGTTTCCAAGAACCATGAAATTAAAATTCAATTTCCGTTTTAATCGATACGAAATTTTTCGATATTTATACGACGTGAAAATTGAATGTCTAACCTTTCATAACTTCGGTAAATAACACGGTTAGTTTATTCTTCCATCGCGTATACTGCCAACATTGATGGCATACGTTATTATTTGACGAAAAAAATTCTATAACGCAAAATTTATACCCGGTCAAATATTACGAAATATTTCCCCGTTCGGTATGGCAATATTTCACCTGCAACCGAGATTTTTTCTTTTATTTCCTTCTTCCTCGAGTATTCGCGAATTTTACACCGATAAGTTATACGAGGAAAGACGCGAAACGAAATCTTTCCCGTCCGCCCACCCCCGCATGCAAATTACAAACTTCGACCGCGAATGAGACACGGAGATGAAAGATTCGCGACGTTTCGATAATTCTACTTTAGGGAAAGCATCATCGAAGTTCTCTCGACGAGTGTTCCCAGACTCGTTCCATTTTCATTATTGACGTATAGGTCGGAACAAGCAAGAATCCTAGGATTAGGAATAGCTGCGTTAACCCCTTCGCGTTATATTTGCGTTATGTTATAAACTGTCAAGGAAGGAAAACGTCTTTGATGGTAGAGCGGTATACTTTATACGATCCTCGGGGATAATAGCTCAATTAAAATGCATCGAAGACAATATTGTTTCCTATATCGAGGATTAATTGCGTTTTCGAAATTCGAAATTCTTTTCGCTTTCACAGCCTCTCGCGAACCACGCGGCGATAATTTCGGCTATACGCGGAAATGCATATTGAATATTAATCCTAGAAATTACTAAATTAGCACGAGATAATCAAGCTTTCCGGATAATCTCGTCGGAGAGTTCGACGAATTTGTGGAACCGCGAAATCGGTCCAAGTAACAGCGTTTCGCGAGAGCAAATAAATCGGTAAACAAATTGCGCGGTTATTATCGCGGTAAAAACGGAGATTTCTGCGTGTTTCTGAACTGGAATCGCGGAACACGTTCGCGGTCGGTCGAGCCACTCCATAAATTGCAAAATTCTCATTGGAATTTACGAGTCACACGCAGTGCGGACTTTCAAAACGAAAACTACGCGATCCAAACAGGTGCTTCGAGTCGCTTGATCAAGATTTATGGTTACCTACTCGAGGAAAAAGAGGAAAAGAAGTCTGCGATCATTCTCGTCGTCGTTGACTTATTGCTCCATTGTGAATACGAATTCATATTAACAAGCTGATTCAAACCTTTTTGCAAGATTATTCCTCCTCTCGTGATTGGATCGTATTAAAGCTTCGTATTTATGCGGAAATAAAAATGCTTGAAATGCAAATTTTGCAAACATAGGTTGTCCCGCGAAATGACCGACGATAAGCAAACTAATTAATTGAACGACGCAGTTTCTAAAATTGCTCGACATTTGGCGTGAAATATGCAAATAGACGACTCAATGAACCTGGCACGTGAGAAATACCATTAAAATTGTGTTAATTGAAAATCGAACTAATTTTATATGCGGATAACTGTACTTAATGACTGTCGTTTCCGTGATTTATGAACATTTCGCAGTATTGCGGTTTTACGAATATCCAAGCATTATAATCCCCAAATAGGAATAACATAATCGATTAAATTATTTCTTTTTTACATGTGAATATTAACAACGATCCCAAAACAATTTGCAGAAGCCAACTGCATCTGTATCATGCATATTACCAGCAGATGGAGTATAGTTGCACTCTTTGCATCGTTAAAAAATTCACGTCGATCATGTTCATAAATCGTTCAGACTTCTACGTTATTCACGATTTTTTATAGAATACGAATGAAATTGCTTGAAAATATTTAAGCGTTGTATCGTTGACTCGGTATGTTAAATCCCAGTGACCATAGCCTACGAATACCATCCGATCGATCTCAGCTGTAAATCGAATTGCAGTACTACAGGCGCAGTGATTCTATAGCTCGGTATGGATCACGTGTACAACTCGATATGCCTCGAAAAGAACGCGAGCCTAAACTCCTTAAAGTCTTAGAATTTGTGGCACTCTGAACTCCGTGGGCTTAGAATGATCGAAAAGTCACGGACCTTGGAATCCCTATTTCTGGAAGCCAACACGGACGATCCAATATCGCAGGATCAGACTCGAGCCACTGTAGATCTGCTCCAGGCCACCCCAAAATTACCTGGTGTACTCCAAACTATCCCGCTATGGTAACACCTCGAACTCCATAAGCTCCAACCCTAAGGGGTATTTCCGGAATGGTCTCCTAATTTCGAAACAGTCCACGATGAACCCTGCTACTCGTAATAGTGGACTCAGACTAGTCGATTCGAAATTTTGGGATCTTGTCACGGGTTCCGTGATCCCAGATTCCATGGGTTCAAAGTCTCGGAATTCCAGGATGGCCTGCAAATTTTACAATTCCCGACACTCGCAGCCCGAACTCCGACGTTCTCGAAATAGTTTGAGACGACTCGTACGGCTGCTTCGCTGTCGTAGGGATTTTACGATTTCGGGATAGTCTGGAATAGGTCCCACGATCCCTTAGCAGTTCTCGCTTATGAAATTTCAGATCTTCGAGTCCCTGATCGCGTACGGGCCGCTGTACGGGAAGAATTCTACGAACCCCCGATCCACGAAGCCCTCGAGTCCCTAGAGCTTCCAACAGAGGTGCACGCAACTTCCGATTCGTCGAGTTCGGTCAGGTATCATCGTTCGAATTTCTTAACATCACGCGTGCCTTTTCCGTTGGTATTTTTTTATCGGAAACCGATAACGATCATTGCCGGTAGCACATCCATACAACGGTAACGATATAATGGGATGTATCGTTGCAGAACGTTCGAACTTTTACGCGCAATTGCTCGATTCTGCTCCTTCGTTGTTCCATTCTGCAATTTGTTCTCCGTGCGGGTATTCTTGGAACAACTATTGCAAATTGATCTGCTGTATATCGAATAACTACAATTCTCTTGGATTTTTGTACGCAGTCGACAACGTCGCTTTGTTAATGACGAAACGGCAACTCACGCGTACGCGTTATTTTCATGTTATGCATGAGCACAATGAAATGCGAAATAGGTCCTATCCGTATCAGCTTTTTCGAGCAGCCATTCTATCTCGAATCGTAATTAAATCAAATCTAGATCGATTTAAATGAAGCGAAGTTCACGGTGTATCTCAGAGCAACGAGTAGGAAATGAAAAGAGCACGAATCGTTATTACAGCACGCGCATTCGGAACGTACTGCCTTTTGTTATTGCATATACACGCTGAACTTTTCCCTGTTCGCATAGCCGCGGCAAATTGAATTACCGTATCGTTTTTTCCACGAATTAGCGTTTTCATCCGGCCAAAATCGAGTTCCGTTTTA